AGGAGACAAAAACACACGGCTGAAAACAATAAGTGGAGGACCCTTTGTGACATTATATTATTGGAGAAATGAGAGACTTGATACGTGAAAGAAGAAGGGGGCAGTGTGGAATTAATGGAAAGGAAATGACCTATTTTCTTGGCTGAAATAAAATACATGATGACAAGGAAGCCATCCATATATAGGACATACCAAGGAAGAAAGTGGAGAGCACATATAGAACATCTTCTTTTAAGCATGTAAGTTTCTTTGTTTTGCTCCACCCCACATATTACTCATGCGTAACTTGGATAGAGATGCAGGAGCAATGAAAAATCTTATTCTCTGGTTTTTATTTCATTTCATTACAGGTATATTACAAGATATGAACTAAAATTAGTCATGAAAGAATATCAGATGCAAACATTAATGCAATCATAACTAATAAGTGGTTATAATAAAAAACTGAACAGGACCATTAAGCATTGATGCAAACAGAGCAACCCAATTATCAGACCATTAACCATTGATGCAAACAGAGCAACCCAATTTTCACTACTTACAAGAGAATATGGTCTTAGAAATCCTCTGACAGCACCAATCACCAATTGCTTGAAATACCCATAATCTCCACTAAGTTGTACATGATCAAGTTGTAGGAGTCTTAGTCTCTTCATTTTCTTGAAAGAACGAGCTTCCAAGCAATCTCTAATGCTGGAATGCAGTTTCAGGGACAATCCTTCGATAGCTCTTATCCCCTGTGATGAATATAGGAAAGATAAATAATTGTTGATTATTGATGCTTAACGTTTAGTTTAACAAGTTAACACAGTATTCTCTTTCACAACCTTAACTTATGCTTCATTCACTCTCAAACCAAAGAAAGTACAAAGGACCCAACCAGTGATACCTGCAGTTACGGCGAAAGCATGGCTCCAGCTCGACAACGCATCTTTCAGTTGTTCTCCTGAATAGCATTTGTGTGCAATTTCTTCCAAACCATGAGAATCCAGGAATACTCCAAAAACGGAGAGGATTCGACGCGAAGAACCCTAAAACCCTAGGTTGACGAAGGAAACCTAAATCGAAGAATCAATCGGTGGAAAGGCTTTTAATCGATAGAAAAGAGGATTTAATCGGTTGAAAATGAAGAAAATGGTGAAAAGAGGTTGGAGCCCTAACTAGAGATGTAGATCGACTGAATCGGTAGGACAAACGTTCGATGGTTGCAAAAGCCACACGCACGCACCGATGAAAACGAAGAAAAAGCTCGAAGGAGGGCCCAAGAAGTTCACGTCTTATTGAAGGAGAAGCATGAAGAGGAGTAAAGATGGGGAAGAAGCTTAGAGAATAGAGAAAAGTGAAGAAGGTTAAGGAAAGACGGTTCGAGGAAAGAGTCTGAAACTTTGATTTTTTTTAAATAAAGATTTTCTAAAATCCGTATATAAAATCCGTATGTAATATTTGAATTATATACAGATTACAATCCGTATATAAATATTTGTATGTAAATGTAATATTTCTTGTAGTGATCGGTAATCTTTTTTTATCGAAGGATGTTCCGAAGGATGTGGGCCGCCGGTAAAAGGCTCAAGAAATTGGATTAAAGGGTTTAGTTTCCCTCTTCGAATGAAACATTCCGTGAGCGTTTTTCTCTGTATTCCTCTTCTCTTCTTCCTTTTCCCCCATTTTCTTACTCTCATTCCCAACAACACCGTTTCCAAATACACAATCCTCCCCCAGCTTCCAGAGCTTTCTGCGTTTCCGAATGTCCACCGCACCGGCGCAGCCTCCGGTGAAGTCCCAGCCTCTGCACAAGTTCGCCCTTCCCTTCTTGAAATGGGGAGTCAGCGGCAAGAACCACCACACCAACGCAGCGCATCACCACCGCTGCCGCCGCCCCTCCTCCCACCCCTCCGATCACGCCTCCGAACCTGATTCTGACCCCCACTCCCGCCCCCACTGCCTTGGATCCAGGACCAATCGCAACCGATTCGCACTCCCCACCTGCTCCCTCAAGCCGCTAGCTCCACCACCACAACCACTTCAGGCGCCGTCGTGCAACGATGAAACTAACGACGAAGCTGCGAAGCGCGACATCGAGGACGCCGAGGAGGCTGTGCAAAAGCCGTGGAACTTGCGACCCCGCAAACCCGCGCTCCCCAAGTCTGCGCTCGAGATCGGAACTGGTCCTTCACGGAACCACGCCAACAACGGCGCGGGAGAGTTTCACGACGCCATTTCGAACCACGGCGAGAACCTCGCTCCGAAGTCCCTCCGGCTACGAGTGTTCGCAGACACTCAGTGCGCCGAGAAGAAGGAGAAGAGGAAATTTTGGATCGCAAAAGCCCTATTTACGTTTGGCCCTTACCGAAGGCTTTTGGCCCTCGGTAATTACCGAAGGGCAAAAGCCCTCGGTAAATGTTAGCGACAAGCGATTTACCGAGGGTTCTTTGGCCGTCGATAAGCCTTCGGTAATTACCTTTTACCGACGGTTTTGGGCTGTTTCCGAGGGCTTTTGGCCTTCGGTAATGCCCTTCTTTTTTGTAGTGAGGGAACCATAAATTTTCGTCCTCCAAAACCAATGACGTTAAAAATCACCTGAGGTAGCTAAAGGTGATGTGCCACGTCAGTTTTTTTTCTGACACGCAGTAAATTTTCCCTAGCTTTTCTCCCTTCGTGTCGTCTCCTTCCTTGCATCTTCTCCACGTTCTTCTCTTTTGTGTTTTCTTCCAAACTTCCGTGTGCTCCGCCACTTGATCTTTGATGTCGTCAGTTGCGGCGGCACCTCCCGCTACCGCTATTGCCAGTGTGGCAGCGGTGAAGGAAATGTTGGTGACTTTAGCTTCGTGGCTAGCCATGTAGAGAAGGAGGAGAGGTCAGAGAAGAGGTCGGAGAAGCTATCGGATCCGTTGAACGCGGCGGAGATGAAAACGAATGCGGAGGCAAAGAGGAAAGAGAGGCATTAGCGGAGCTGAAGCGAGTGGTGAAGGAGTTGCGCGAAGAAGACCTCTCGATGCGGAGAATCGCGGTGGAGAGAGTGAGGTCGCTGGCGAAGGAAGATGCCGAAGCGAGAGCAAATCTCGCAATGCTCAAAGTAAACCCTCCTCTCCTCGAAATACTCAATTCAAAAGACGCTTATTCATAAATCCCTTCGCTCTATGCTTTGCTCAATCTCGGAATCGGTAACTGATTTGGTTTGGTTTTTAATTAGCTTGGAAGACAGCCTCCAGAATATTTGAGTGTTTGAGGGTGGACAAGGGGAAACCTTGGTTGATCTCATCAACAACTCTAAATGGGCAGGGGCCGAGTTTCATGGTGGCGGAGATGAAGGACTTCAAGATCTGGCTCAAGGGGACGACCGTGGGAAGGAAGGGGCGACTCGCGATCACGGCGATGGCGTCGGAGGTGGCGTCAGAGGTGGTTGTGGTAGAGTCAAAGGGAGAGGGAGGGAGAGGAGATGAAAAAGATTAACTAATGTCAGAAAAAAAATGACGTGGCACACCACCATTAGCCACCTCAACTGATTTTTAATGCCGTTGGTTTTGAAGGACGAAAAATTTTGGTTTCCTTAAGGAAAATGACCAACATGTAGCTTAGTTTGAAAGAGGGGCTAAAAACAAATTCTCTTAATAGTTTAGGGACTAAAAACATATTTAACCCTTTTATTTTCTTCTTTTTCAAAAAATTAAAAAAGTTAATTCTTTTAAGACCATTTTATCCTTGTTAGGTGTGTCAAATGAATATCAATGTGTGTTATGGTACCCTAACTCAAAAAGAAATTATCTCTTTTTCACATACTCATTAAACAGACTCTATCTATTTTTCTCACACACAACTATGATGATTCTCTCTTTCTCTTCTTTGGTTTTTTTCTTCACCATGTTATTGTGTCTTAACTCTTCTTCTTTCCATCCCTTTTATAGATGGGTTGCACAGTTCTTTTCATTTTATAATCAAAGCCATAAAACATGGACCAAATTTTAGCAACCTTTGGTGTAGTTGCAATTATTGCCCCTAATTCATAGTAAGTAGAGTTGTAAACATTAACCCCTCATGATAGGTTGGTCCCATTTGAATTTTATTCAACAAAACTACCCCATAAACCAAATGGACCTTCTTCCTGTCTTTACATCCTGACTTAATTTGAAGGTACTAGAACACCAGCACCTTGACAACAATCTTCAACCTTCTTGGTTGACATTGACTTAGGCACAAGTCAGACCAATTCAAGTATGTGTGAATTTTCTCTATCTTTTTTTTTCTCATCCAAAGCTTCTCGTATCCAATGATATTGAATCTCAATGTGCTTTAATCGTGAATGAAACATATGGTTCTTGGTTAGATGGATAGTACTTTGATTATTACAGTTTACCACATAATCATCTTTATTATATCCCAATTCACTTAGAAAATTCTTCATCCATAGCATATCTTTGAAGGCTTCAATGACTACTACATACTATGCTAGGAGATGCCAAATTATCCAAGAAATCGGTGAGACGGAGCTCATATGCAAAAAAAAAGGACTCTCACAATATGCTTAAAGAGCTTGATGACACACTCAAACAACTCGATCAAGCAATGGAGCAAATCGAAAATGCAGGTGATCACCTTGGCAGTGAAGGAGACAAACTCAAGAGAAGGCATGAATAGCTCGGTAATGAAATAGTATAACTCAGAAGTGTAGATGGTGAACTCGGATGTAGTGTCATGCTTGAAATCAAAGGCTGAGAAGAATTCTACCAACTCAGTGTGGTACCTGGACACTAGAGCTAGTGATCATATGTGTATAAGCTCAATAAGGTAGAGGTCGAATTCGTGTCATCTAGAGATGATTTAAAAGTAGTTGTAAAAGGACGTGGAAAAATCCGACACATCTTAATTTTGGAAGTCTGGCTGAACTAACAAGGAGGGAACTATTACTAAAACTACTTGGTATAAAATTTGAGAAGAAATTTTTTGAAGAATGCATGCTCGGAAAACATTCATGAATGAACTTTCCAAACTTGGCTATATATTGGGTAAAAAAGTAACTTGAACTAATGCACGCCGATTTGTGTGGACCAATTTCTCTTAGTTCATTCAATTGTAAGAAATATTTTATTTCATTCATAAATGGGTTTTCTTAGAGGTCTTAGGTGTATTTCTTACAAGAGAAATCAGAAGTAAGATGTTTAAGAAGTTCAAGTTGATGGTGGAGAAACAAATTGGTAAGTAGATTAAAGTAGTACGGTCTAACAAGGGAGGTGAATTTGTATCTGCAAGTTTTATGCAATATTGTGAAAAGCAAGGGATGTGGAAATTTCTAACTGCTCCATGTTCACCACAAATAAATGGCATGGCAGAGAGAAAGAATAGGAACGTTCTAGATATGATTTGAACCATTGTTAAAGGGAAGAATATGCTAAAGGAGTTATGGAAAGAGGTTGTGAAATATGTTGTATATGTACAAAATAGGTGCCTACATTCAAAGCTAGATGGAGTGACACCACAAGAAGCCTAAAGTGAAAGAAAGTTGAGTGTAAAGATTTTCAAAGTCTTCGGTAGCATAACATATGGACATGTCCCAAGACAAATCAGAATGAAGCTTGATGATAAAAGCAAGAAATATGTTTTTATTGGCTATGATAAACAAGCAAAACCCTATAAGTTGCACAAACCAGTTTCAGGCAAGACATTAGTAAGCCATGATGTCCAAGTAAATGAAGATAATTAGAGGAATTGGACTAATTTAAGGAGAAGCCTTCAAAAAACATGATTTATTGGGTAGAGAACTCGACAATGGTTAAAAAGAGCTCGGATGACACTACCAGGTGCCTAAAGATCACAAATGAGTAAGGTGAAGAAGAAGATGAACATGTGCAGTCCAAATCTCGNCCCTCAAGCCGCTAGCTCCACCACCACAACCACTTCAGGCGCCGTCGTGCAACGATGAAACTAACGACGAAGCTGCGAAGCGCGACATCGAGGACGCCGAGGAGGCTGTGCAAAAGCCGTGGAACTTGCGACCCCGCAAACCCGCGCTCCCCAAGTCTGCGCTCGAGATCGGAACTGGTCCTTCACGGAACCACGCCAACAACGGCGCGGGAGAGTTTCACGACGCCATTTCGAACCACGGCGAGAACCTCGCTCCGAAGTCCCTCCGGCTACGAGTGTTCGCAGACACTCAGTGCGCCGAGAAGAAGGAGAAGAGGAAATTTTGGATCGCAAAAGCCCTATTTACGTTTGGCCCTTACCGAAGGCTTTTGGCCCTCGGTAATTACCGAAGGGCAAAAGCCCTCGGTAAATGTTAGCGACAAGCGATTTACCGAGGGTTCTTTGGCCGTCGATAAGCCTTCGGTAATTACCTTTTACCGACGGTTTTGGGCTGTTTCCGAGGGCTTTTGGCCTTCGGTAATGCCCTTCTTTTTTGTAGTGAGGGAACCATAAATTTTCGTCCTCCAAAACCAATGACGTTAAAAATCACCTGAGGTAGCTAAAGGTGATGTGCCACGTCAGTTTTTTTTCTGACACGCAGTAAATTTTCCCTAGCTTTTCTCCCTTCGTGTCGTCTCCTTCCTTGCATCTTCTCCACGTTCTTCTCTTTTGTGTTTTCTTCCAAACTTCCGTGTGCTCCGCCACTTGATCTTTGATGTCGTCAGTTGCGGCGGCACCTCCCGCTACCGCTATTGCCAGTGTGGCAGCGGTGAAGGAAATGTTGGTGACTTTAGCTTCGTGGCTAGCCATGTAGAGAAGGAGGAGAGGTCAGAGAAGAGGTCGGAGAAGCTATCGGATCCGTTGAACGCGGCGGAGATGAAAACGAATGCGGAGGCAAAGAGGAAAGAGAGGCATTAGCGGAGCTGAAGCGAGTGGTGAAGGAGTTGCGCGAAGAAGACCTCTCGATGCGGAGAATCGCGGTGGAGAGAGTGAGGTCGCTGGCGAAGGAAGATGCCGAAGCGAGAGCAAATCTCGCAATGCTCAAAGTAAACCCTCCTCTCCTCGAAATACTCAATTCAAAAGACGCTTATTCATAAATCCCTTCGCTCTATGCTTTGCTCAATCTCGGAATCGGTAACTGATTTGGTTTGGTTTTTAATTAGCTTGGAAGACAGCCTCCAGAATATTTGAGTGTTTGAGGGTGGACAAGGGGAAACCTTGGTTGATCTCATCAACAACTCTAAATGGGCAGGGGCCGAGTTTCATGGTGGCGGAGATGAAGGACTTCAAGATCTGGCTCAAGGGGACGACCGTGGGAAGGAAGGGGCGACTCGCGATCACGGCGATGGCGTCGGAGGTGGCGTCAGAGGTGGTTGTGGTAGAGTCAAAGGGAGAGGGAGGGAGAGGAGATGAAAAAGATTAACTAATGTCAGAAAAAAAATGACGTGGCACACCACCATTAGCCACCTCAACTGATTTTTAATGCCGTTGGTTTTGAAGGACGAAAAATTTTGGTTTCCTTAAGGAAAATGACCAACATGTAGCTTAGTTTGAAAGAGGGGCTAAAAACAAATTCGCTTGATAGTTTAGGGACTCAAAACATATTTAACCCTTTTATTTTCTTCTTTTTCAAAAAATTAAAAAAGTTAATTCTTTTAAGACCATTTTATCCTTGTTAGGTGTGTCAAATGAATATCAATGTGTGTTATGGTACCCTAACTCAAAAAGAAATTATCTCTTTTTCACATACTCATTAAACAAACTCTATCTATTTTTCTCACACACAAATATGATGATTCTCTCTTTCTCTTCTTTGGTTTCTTTCTTCACCATGTTATTGTGTCTTAACTCTTCTTCTTTCCATCCCTTTTTAGATGGGTTGCACATTTCTTTTCATTTTATAATCAAAGCCATAAAACATGGACCAAATTTTAGCAACCTTTGGTGTAGTTGCAATTATTGCCCCTAATTCATAGTAAGTAGAGTTGTAAACATTGACCCCTCATGATAGGTTGGTCCCATTTGAATTTTATTCAACAAAACTTCCCCATAAACCAAATGGACCTTCTTCCTGTCTTTACATCCTGACTTAATTTGAAGGTACTAGAACACCAGCACCTTGACAACAATCTTCAACCTTCTTGGTTGACATTGACTTAGGCATAAGTCAGACCAATTCAAGTATGTGTGAATTTTCTCTATCTTTTTTTTTCTCATCCAAGCTTCTCCAATCCAATGATATTGAATCTCAATGTGCTTTGACCGTGAATGAAACATAGGGTTCTTGGTTAGATGGATAGTACTTTGATTATTACAGTTTACCACATAATCATCTTTATTATATCCCAATTCACTTAGAAAATTCTTCATCCATAGCATATCTTTGAAGGCTTCAGTGACTACTACATATTATGCTAGGAGATGTCAAATTATCCAAGAAATCGGTGAGACGGAGCTCATATGAAAAAAAAGGACTCTCACAATATGCTTAAAGATCTTGGTGACACACTCAAACAGCTCGATCAAGCAATAGAGCAAATCGAAAATGCAGGTGATCACCTTGGCAGTGAAGGAGACAAACTCAAGAGAAGGCATGAATAGCTCGGTAATGAAATAATATAACTTAGAAGTGTAGATGGTGAACTCAAATGTAGTGTCATGCTTGAAATCAAAGGCTGAGAAGAATTCTACCAACTCAGTGTGGTACCTGGACACTAGAGCTAGTGATCATATGTGTATAAGCTCATTAAGGTAGAGGTCGAATTCGTGTCATCTAGAGATGATTTTAGAGTAGTTGTAAAAGGACGTGGAATAATCCGACACATCTTAATTTTGGAAGTCTGGCTGAACTATCAAGGAGGGAACTATTACTCTAACTACTTGGTATAAAATTTGAGAAGAAATTTTTTGAAGAATGCATGCTCGGAAAACATTCATGAATGAACTTTCCAAACTTGGCTATGTATTGGGTAAAAAAGTAACTTGAACTAATGCACGCCGATTTGTGTGGACCAATTTCTCTTAGTTCATTCAATTGTAAGAAATATTTTATTTCATTCATAAATGGGTTTTCTTAGAGGTCTTAGGTGTATTTCTTACAAGAGAAATCAGAAGTAAGATGTTTAAGAAGTTCAAGTTGATGGTGGAGAAACAAATTGGTAAGTAGATTAAAGTAGTACGGTCTAACAAGGGAGGTGAATTTGTATCTGCAAGTTTTATGCAATATTGTGAAAAGCAAGGGATGTGGAAATTTCTAACTGCTCCATGTTCACCACAAATAAATGGCATGGCAGAGAGAAAGAATAGGACCGTTCTCGATATGATTTGAACCATTGTTAAAGGGAAGAATATGCTAAAGGAGTTATGGACAGAGGTTGTGCAATGTGTTGTATATGTACAAAATAGGTGCCTACATTCAAAGCTAGATGGAGTGACACCACAAGAAGCCTGAAGTGGAAGAAAGTTGAGTGTTAAGCTTTTCAAAGTCTTCGGTAGCATAACATATGGACATGTCCCAGGACAATTCAGAATGAAGCTTGATGATAAAAGCAAGAAATATGTTTTTATTGGCTATGATAAACAAGCAAAACCCTATAAGTTGCACAAACCAGTTTCAGGCAGGACATTAGTAAGCCATGATGTCCAAGTATATGAAGATAATTAGAGGAATTGGACTTATTTAAGGAGAAGCCTTCAAAAAACATGATTTATTGGGTAGAGAACTCGACAATGGTTAAAAAGAGCTCGGATGACACTACCAGGTGCCTAAAGATCACAAATGAGTAAGGTGAAGAAGAAGATGAACATGTGCAGTCCAAATCTCGGAGTTTAGATAACATTAATTACTTCACTGTTGAGGTACATGTAATATGTTTATGCAGGTGTAGAAGATGTAAAGTTTGAAGAAGTTTTGTGCTTGATGAAAAATGGAAGAAAGCTATGAATGTGGAGACAAGCTCATTTGAAAAAAAAATGAAATGTGGGAGCTGACAAATTTACCCGCATGTACTCAACCAATTGGTGTGAAGTTTGTGTACAAAAAGAATATCAATGCAAAAGGAGAGTTGGAGCACTACAAAGCCTAACTAGTGGTGAATGGCTACAAATAGTAGAAATGAATTGACTATAATGAGGTATTTGCTCTAATTACAAGGATGAAAACAATTCAGTTATTATTTTCACTAGCAACATAATAAGGTTGGAAGATACAATAGATGAATGTAAAGTCTACATTTTTAAATGAAATTTTGGAAAAGGAAGTTTGTGTAGAACAACCTTTAGGTTACATGAGAAGAGGCAAAGAAAATAAGGTGTTAAGCTGAAAAAAGTGTTGTATGGTTTGAAAAAAGCTCTGCGAGCTTGGAATGAAAGAATTGACACCAATTTCGAAAAGAATGGTTATGAACAATGTCTATGTGAACATACTTTATATCTAACGAAGCATGTGACATGTATGTTATTTGTTGCCTTGTATGTAGATGATTTGATTTTTATTGAAAGTAAAGCCGATATAGTTGAACAATTAAAAAAGGTAATGATGAAGAAGTTCAAAATGATCGATATAAGCATTATCAGATACTTTCTAGGATTGGAGATGGACCAAAGTTTGGCAGGGTTTGTGTCTCAAAGAATGTCTACTAAAGATTATGAAATGTAATTCAATTTTCACTCCAATGAAATCTAAAATCAAACTATCAAAAAACTGGAGAATAGAGATGTTAAAACTGAATGATCGAAAGATTACAACTAGTTATGTTTTCTCCATGATTAAGATAGTATTTATTTAACTCTCAGATAAATAACTCATTGTAACCCTGATCTACATGTGAAGAAGTTGAGTATGTTGTAGAATCTTAAAATATTCGACGTACAATCTCACTAAGAAACATAGTGAAAAATTTGGAAATAATACAATAATCCGTGTAAATAATAGATCGATCATCAAACTAAAAAAACCTAATCAACTACAAGAGAAAAGAAGCATATTGACTTTAAGGCCTTGTTCACTTAAATGAATTTGAAGGAGAGTGATTAAGGGATTTGAGAGGATTTGAAGGTAATTCTTTTTGTTGTTTATTTGAGTAGATTTGGAGGTAAATGAGAATAAATTTGAAAGTAAATTTTTTAATATGTTACATCAATCAAATCCTACTTTAATTCTTACAAATTTTACTTTCAAATTCACTCTCACTTATCTCTAAATCTACTCAAATAAATAATAACAAAAATTTACCTTTAAATTCTCTCCTATCTCTTTAGTCATTCTCACGTTAAGTGAACAAAACCGGGCGAGTGATACAGAGAAAAGTTGTTTAAGTGAGTATAATTTGAAGCATGCAAATACAAATACAAGTGGCATAACTAGGGAAGAAAAACAGAGACATGCAGCAGAGTGGTGTTGATGGTCTGATTCGACTGTTTTGAAAGTTGTTATTGGTTCGAATACGACAAAGACCGCTTAGTTGACTTGACTGTTGGAAAAGGGCGGTGATTATGGCAAGGCATTTGGTACGTGGTGGTCCCTGAATGTGTTGGCAGAGGTCATGTGAGCTTGGTGGGGACGGTGGTAATTGAGTGCCACAGTGGTTTAGTTGGATATCTCATTCAGGAATTCAAAAGACTCAGTAACGTGGGTCACTAGGGTTCTTAGCTTAGACTAACAATATCAGGGCATGCTTGTCAAGTTTTTGTTCTGTTCATCAGAGCATGCCATTGAAGCTCCAAAACTTG